TCCCTAGTTATGATGGTTGTAAGGTATGAATGTGTTTAAAAAGTGGAACTGCACATGTCCTGAGAATTGCTTTTGGGGGTTGGTGAATAGATTTGTTCATGTGTGGGACAGGAGATGCAGATTGCTGTAAAGCAAGAGTGCAGAACTTTTGGGGAGGAAAAACATTTTCCCTGTGAGTGGAAGACCAAGGAGTCTGCTTTCCAAAATGGGGTGGGGCTGTGGAACTAGGCTGAAGCTGCCATAACTGACCATGAAGCAGGCACATAAGCAGAGAGGACAAAAAAACAGGAATCTTGTTTAAAAGATCCTTTCAGGGAGGCAGATAAGAAGGAAACAGGTTGTTAAGGAAACAAAGGAAAAAATGTCACCTGAGCCGGACAAAGGAAGTTGGGCCTGAGCACATGGAACACCCCCACCACAATCCCATCAACAGCTACCAGACTTGTAAAATAATAAGGCAAGAGCAGCTGCCAGTCTTGTGAATCAACAAAGCAAGGACTTTTGGGGATAAAAGGGGTTCCTGAAGCCCTCCCACTCCTTGAGTCATCTTTAGGTCCAGACTTGGCGGCTTCCATCCCTCTAGCTAGTGCCTGGCAGCCTAGTTGAGAAGCGTGCAGATAAGTGTGGGTTAGTGTGTGTGTGTGAGAAAGAGCATGTACACTGTAACCAGTAAAGTTTTGCTGTGGCTTTAAATTCATTGGGTCTCTCCATATTCCAAGGAACCCGATGTGCCTCAGTGTTCGGATGAAAGCGATTTGTGTGTGTCCCTAATTATTTCCCAGCTATTGACCAGGGCTGTGTGTCTGTCTGCTCCAGCTGCACTATCAGGAAAACCCAGGTAGAAAGCAAGAGGGGCTTACAAGATCCGCGTGTCTCAACAGGCTGTGAGGGTGTGAGTGAGTGACCATAAGCCAGACCTTGGAGTGCGTGTAACAGGACCAGGAACAAAGCAAAATTTGTTTTTGATTCATTTCTTTTATTAAATGTATAGCCAAGCTTTCTGTCCATATAATTCTCAAAGTGGCTTATGGTGAATGGAAAGGCACCCAAGAAAACAAACAAATGGTTCATTGAAAAAATCAACCCAGAGATCTGGCGCAAATAACCAGGCTGAAATGATCCTACTTTGGACACATTACGTGAAGACTTAGCTCTCTGCAGACACTCTGTCGCTAAGTGATGAAGTCATAAAGTGCAACATCATGTGACCACATCGCTTAGCAGAGGCAATCCTGGCACTCCCTATTGCCGTCATTAAGCGTCGTAAAGTGAGTCCCAGCTGCCTCACAAGCAGGCCAGCAGGCAAGTAAGGCGTGGTGCGGGCATAGTGGAGCCAGGGGTGGCTGCTGTCAGGCAGGGGAGGGTGTGTGGGTGGTCTATGAGGTGTGGTGCAAGCATAGTGGGGCTGGGGCTGGCTGCTGCCAGGTGGGGGAGAGTGTGAGCGACTTACCGGTGTGACTTGTGACTTTCCCTGCAGGCTTCCCCATTGACTTTGCCTGTGGGAAGCTGGCAGGGAAGGTCACAAATGATGATCATGTGACCATGCGATGCTGCAGCTGTCGTAACTATGAGCTGGTTGCCAAGTGCTCAAATCATGATCATGTGACCGCAGGGGCACTGCAACTGCTAGAACTTCGAGGACCGGTCATAAATACCACTCATTCAGTGCCATCGTAACTTTGAAAGGTCGCTGAATGAGTGGTCGTTAAATGAGGACTCCCTGTATAGTTAACAGGGCCCATAGTGAGGAATAATTGGAGTTCAGTTCAGCAAGATGTGAAGAAATTGGCCATTTGCTGCAAGCCTTTCTCCCAATAGAGATCTGATTAGGGCAAGGAGGGAAGGATCTGCTACATTTGGCTATAATTTAGCCCTCTGGCCCTTTTTACTCTCTAACTCTCTTTTCCTTGCACAATTCACAAGCTGATTTCATGTGAAGATAAAATGTGAATTACATATGCCTCTCTGAGGTGTTTGGGAAAGGGACAAGGAGCAAAGGTTATGCCAATAAAATATGAACTCATTCTTTATCTCATCTTCAGAGAGTGAGAGAGTGATTATGGGGCTAACCCTTTCAATCCATCCCAGGGCAATTCCTTTTCAAAAGGAAAGGCTTATAAAATGGCAAGTCAAGTTCTTTTTAAAAAGCCCGCCCATCACAAAAGGGCTTTCTGCCATTACTTGCAAGTCTGTGGTTATTTCTTTTACTCAAGTGGAAATCAGCCGGTGAAAAAGCCTTGCTTGAAGGCACAGAGAAGTGTGTTTAAAGCTGTGTGCGGAACTTCAAGCCGCTGTTCCCTAGTCGTTGGGTGCAGATTTCATCGAGCTGTTGGCTTTGAGCCACTGTGAAGTGTTCCTTCCAGTCCCCTACGGTGCCTAGAAATGGGTAAAACAATTTAGAGAAAGACAGGAAAAAAACTCAACAGTCTGGATTTCCATCCTCCTTTCTTCTAACCCGGTGTTTCTCAACCTTGGCCATGTTAAGATGTGTGGACTTCTGGGAGTTGAAGCCCGCACATCTTAACATGGCCAAGGTTGAGAAACACTGTTCTGCCCCAACTCTTTCTCACATTAGTTTGGCTGCTAAGAAGTCCTTCTGCTTTTGCCAGTTACTTTGAAAAATATTCTGGGCAGCCATATAATAGTTCCTCTTTTCTTTTCCCACTGCTGGACATAATCCCACATGGCCCCCTTCCCTTCAGATGTAGCTAGGACATGTCAGTCTGCCCACCTTTTCTCATAAAGGGTGACACAGTTTGGTCCATGATAGATGAAGGCATGGTGCTATAATTAGCCATGGGGTTGTCTTTCATGCTCTCAAACGTGGTGTGCTGTACAATCTGATCCAGGACTGATTCTGAAAGCTCCATACATAGGAATTGAGCTATTTTCTGGATTTCTCGAGCTGGGTTCTATGGAGAGAAAGAAGGATTACAACGAGAAGTGTAGTGAATTAAGTTGTGAGAATCCCGTTTCATCCGGAGATATATACCATATTTTTCCGACAATAAGACGCCCCCATGTACAAGACGACCCCCACTTTTC